TTTCCAAGTTGGGTTTTTAAAACATGAAAACGTCCTCATCAAGCTGCACGCTACCAATAAATATATGTGCCTGTCTTATAGTACTCCAAGTTAAGAAGAAGTTAAGAAACAAACATATAAAATCTTTATTTTAATTCATTACGGTCGAAATTCCACCACTAGGGAATCTCTAGTAGACCGAATTATTATTAATAAATAAAGTTTTCGAGTAACATTCTTTAGTTAATTAAATATTTGTATTTATATAGTTGTACCTATTCAGATAAAGTGTTATTAGTTCTATGGTAAGACACAAATAACGCGTATTTTGGAAAATGTAATTTAAAAAGTCATGTACGACATTCATCTGTATAAAAATCTGTAATAATCTGTCTCGCTATTTTCGCTCGTAATCATACTGGCAGATAAGATAACACATATTCATCATTATAATCAAGTAGTATCGTTATCAACGACGTGCGATAGTTAATAATATGAAATAAAACCTCTGAGAACATGCTCTAAACTAAACCGTCCTTATACACGATTGTACAGGTAAAAAGCAGGGTCATTATTAACAATAGCGGAAGGTGGAGGCTATTGGCTCATCAATTATTCGCCAACACAATTACCCCATTAGAGTCAAACTACCCCGGCTGCCGGCACTTACACTGCCGGAAATTGTCATAAACGACTCCAGGGACCGTTTTATATACTCCATCGCATCTTATCACTGGCATTGTAACTCTTATTTTCATAGATGTAGAACATATATTTAAACTAGATCATCTATACAACTCCAAAAATGTTTGCAATGAGCGGATATCTAAAATCAATACTAATACTATTATGAAATTGTACAAGTGTACATTCTGTGGGTGCGTAATCTTCAAAATAATAATAATCACACACGGCCGTCTGATCCCAAACTAGGCAGGGCCTGTAGTATGGTAACCACACTGCTGATAAACATACTTATACATATATTTCTCAAAAAAACATATTATAGATACACAACTACACGCAGACACATAACAAATGATCATTGCCATCACATAATTTTATGTCCTAGGTGGGCTTCGAACCCACAATCTCTGGCATTGAAGCAGCTCTGGCAGGAGACAATGTGACTAACCACTAGACCAACAGGCGCGTCAATGACCACAAATGAGAGAGAATGATGAGAATGAATGATATAAATATTAAAAAATGGAGGTGTCAAATAAAGATAGACCAAGCTCATCAAGCTCATATTACATCAAACCTACTCTACCTTACAAATTACAAAAGTATAAAACAGGTGCACATTCAATTAAAAAAAACGGGGATATACCTACTAAGGAAGAGCTCCTGAATAACCAACTCTCTAAAACTACAATGGGTCATTCTTCAACTTAGTTTGCATTTTATTTGTAGCCTTTAACAATTTCGCGTCAGGGCGAGCTCACTGCGCTGCGTATACAGTCAAAAAGTATCGGGAATGGATGATTTGTTTATGATTCCAAATTAAAAAATGATATTATGGTTGGCTTCGCAACGTGAGTAGGTTGGTAATGTACTAGTTCGTGTACTAGTAAGTAGCTCGACGCTAGTCTATTTCACGCGGTCACCACAACTGCGTAGCGCCTAGCATCTTTTTTTACCTGTATAGACCCGGCCGTCAACCCCCGTATGTCGGAATGAAACCGACTAAAACCACACGGTGTGCCAATCTGCGCCTTAAACAGGCGGGATCCAGTAACACCTCAGTCAGTCAGTCAGTCAGTGTCAGTCATTCAAACATCCGAACATCTTCTAGACCCAGCGCGTTAACTGCCCCGACCTTTATGGTGCGGAACATGAGTTGCGTGGGCGACTGTTGGGAAACAAATAGCCATGCACCTCGGCACGGTGTCCCTACAGCACTCATAATATTAATGGCTTCTACATCCTGCCGAGTTCTCGTGGTATTACCGACCCTTAGCGAGCAAACATTGATACTCCCTCGAAAATATTCATTAGGATTTCTTTAAACTAAAAGTGACATCTTAAAAAATTGATGGTATTATTAATAACGGTATTAGAAGCACAAGTTTATTTCTTTGCCGCTATTAACTTACTTTGTGTGTACTTACTTTTGTTCCCTCATCCGCATAAACTTTCTATAATGAATGCATAACCTAGACGTTATGGGTATAGGATAAACAACAGAGCAATGAGTGCCAGCCTAACTGAAAATATAATGTCGCACCTTTATTCATAAACTGAATTAACTTAGAATTTCAATATTGTGGGAAATCGCATTTAAAGTTTGACATTCATGTACGTGCGAGTTCGTCAAAAAGAGAAGGACGATCTCTTATCTCTGCCATTTTCATGGTATCGAGTCGGCTGTTGGATTGTTCGTGTTCTACTGATGAAGTTGATTTGGTATTTGTTGAAAACTCGAAAAACGTAAATTTTGAATTAATTCAGTTTATTATTAAAGGTGCGATGTATGTGTAACAGCAGAATTTAGTGATAGCACACGGCAGTCTCCGGCCACTAACCCTCATTTTATGAGCGTGCGAGCACAAAGGTGCATTAGCGAAACAACAGGCACTCGCGGCTCGTGAGTACGCGTCAAAGTTGGTGGAGCCCTGCGCCGGCGGATTATGATTTATGACAGGTAATGCAAATCTATAGTCCGAGAGCCGAGGTTCAGTTTCTACACGGTACAATTATAATACAGTATTGTAACTCGGCCGCATGATAGAAATAAATGCCTACAGCCGCGCGGTACTTAAACATGCGTTAGGGCTGCCCGTCTTCAGCATTTTAATTATATTTGCCTACTTTCTGTTTCTATTTAGATTTGTGATTGTAAATATCCTTTTTATATAAATAAATGAAATACTTTGTATATTGAATAGGAATTGTTCAATAAAAATGCGTGTTGTTTTTTGATTGGTAGATTTAATTAAAAAACATTTTTTTGTTTGAAAAACCAATCGGGCTTATAAATTAGCGACCGAAAAAAATCCTTCTATAAAATAAAATAAATGTGCTTTCTCCATACGCGTTACAAAACTCCAATCCTTAGAAACTCCAACACCTACCACCTACTCAACTAGAATGCAAGAAACAGCTGACGAGTAAGTAACTTTTTATCTCAGCTAATTAACGTCTCTATAAATTACCTAACCTATAACCTACAACTCGCAACAACTCAAAACAAAAATTCTTTGGTCACCAATTAATTAATTATTAAAAAGCTGAACAGCTGACTACGAATGTTTTAAAATCACAACCCTCAAACATCTAAATATTATATATGAGTCTAGCTGTTGTTGTTAATACCGAGAAAATAAAACCAGTTTTTAGTGCTATATGTTGTTATAGTAGCAGCAGAAACACTTTGTGAAAATTTCGAAAACTGTCTAATGACCCACAGACGGTAACAAATTTTTTTTAGTATTATTCATACACACAGATAATAAAGATATATTATTAATAATAATATACCACGTCTTTAAGTAGAATTATCTTTTTTTTGAATTATGCAAAGTAACAAAACAAACATGCACCGAAGTTTTAACACAAGCGTAAGTAGGTAGGTACCTACCGTATCATGATTCATTCAGAACCGCATGTAACTCCCTATTTCACTCGTCTCAATAACTTTCCGTTACTCTATTTGCTTTATTTATTCATCCAAACACCTTTTTTTTCGTGAGATAAAAGGAAATACTTATCCATTAAAAAGACACACATTATGTACCTACGTACTAGTAAGTAAAATTATTTTATAGTCTTACTTTTCAGAGTTTCCAGGTAATTTAAAAAAACTTATGTCTGGATGCGTTATTGACGAATTCATACAACCAAAAACAGCACAATATTTCCTACTCGTCATATTAACTGATTTTTAGAGAAAAAATCGCGCGGTTATTGTTAAAAAAACAACACGCAGTCCGTTCGACACTGCGGTACAGCCGTGACTGTCTGCGCCCCGAGCGCACCCCGAGATCGAGGCGCGTAGGTATAGCTCCCGTTTCGTCCGTTTGTATGAAGTTGCAGTACTGTATTATAATAGTACCGTGGTTTCTATGTCGCCGTCGTATACGAGCCAGCGCATACGGCAGGCGGCACGCGGCATGCGGCACGCTGCCGGTTGACGTTTTAATACTACCTCCACATACATTCTTATTCGAATCAATTTGCAATCTTAATAAAATTGCCCACACATTCATTTGTCAATATGGAATTTTGACTAGATAAATAAGTACAAAAATGTGCTGTCCAGACAATATGAACATGTGTTAACTCAGTTTTTTTTTAAAGACAACTTCCCCGCATTAGGAATATATCCTGTGTCGCGGGGGACTTTACAAACATACATGAAACGGAAACAACTAACACCCAGACTCAGAACAACAATATGTAACTCCCACAAAGTGTTGTCCCGTGTGGGGATCGAACCCACACCACTAGTTGTAGCAGTAGTAGTGAGCGGCGTGGCGACCGCTTAAACCACTACGCTATCCATGCAGTAAAATTTATGATTAGTTTAATTATTATTGCTCTTCTTGATTAATTTAATGGTCAGTCAGCTCTATTCTAGTGACAGAGAAGTATTAGAAAAACAAAAATACATTTACTTATGTATTTCTGTATCTACAACAATGCGTAAAGTTATAAAGTTGATTAAAAGATCAAACGCTGTTGTAAAGAAAAATGGGTGATCTACCTATCTACAATACATTTAAAACGAGTGATCCTTATCTTTTACTTTACGATTACAAATTGCTTTTGATAAAAAATAGACATAAACAAATCTACAGATAAACATGAAACACAAGATAAACTTGAATAATAATATGTTTGAGAACCTACCTCTAGCAGTAAACATAGGCATCGATCAGTTTACCTGTCATCCGATGAGTTTTATTTTTTATTCCTGAATTATATTCTATGCACAATGAGTTCTTGTACGAGTAATCTTTTTTAATTGTATTATAGCTATATATGTGTAAATATAAATAGACGACGATTTTACTTACCGTGATCGTGTCATAAATGCCGTTCTGTTCTGAACGTAAGGTAGCGGCTGCGGACGACGGCGGCACTGGTGGCGGAGCAGTGACCGGAGCTGGCAGCGAGCGCGATGCTGTCGGTGAACCAGGTAACGGATCTCCATTCCGCGTCCAATTGCGATGAATTTGCCAGCTTGTATCCGAAAACCTTGCTCTGTCCTGTTAAAAATGTATGAGAATTAGAAATGACCTTAGTCTGTTTCCTAGAATAATAAATTTCGTTTCAAGATTTAAACAGGGTTGCTACTTTATTATTAACGGGTTTTTACAAACCAAATACAATAGTATTCTGGCATTCCTGAACATTCTATGGGAGGTTTCACGAACTTCGACTATAATCAATATTTCAAAGAAATCTAACAAAATGTACCAAATATGCCATTCTTTATACGCGAGTCATAATTGCCGCGAATGAGTTATTGTAAAAAAAGGAATAAGTATTTGGACACGCCAGACACGGTAGGCACGCGGATATTGTCAGCGGGCCTGTAAAGCATTGTCTGTCCAACAAAACGCTTTTAGATCCGGGTTAAAACTAAAATCATAACTGCCACTTTTAAATCTATTCACGTCCAAATCGCGAGTGTTTACATTTGAAACACATTCCTTTTACATCATAAACATATATAAAAAAACTATATTCTATATTATGTCCTATTTATATATATATGTATATTACATTGTCACTTATTACTATAATCACAATGTAGCTACTAAATGTAACAACAGTCAGCCAACAAAAAAAAACACCATTTTATTTGGTTAGAAAGTGATCCCTACGAATAGGGGATGTGGCGACTCCCACATAAACATACTACAGCGCCATCTAATGAAGACACACCGAACTACGGAGTAACTACTAAAATAAGAATTGCTAATCCTGTATCGCGATATAAAGAATTCCCTCGCCGATTAGCATATATACAACTTCCCAACATCAACCGTTGGGCCGCGGCCCGCCAGGCATGATCACCTCGCCTGGTCGGAGGATCCTTCCTTTGTGTTGGAGGGACATGACACCCGTTCCTCCACAGGTTTTTTCAAACTTATTTTAATTCATCATTACCATATCTTTTTTCTGGCTAAACCTTTGCAACTTATTGCTACAGTTTAAAATCAATTTTCGTCAGCCATTTTATGTCACGATGTGTTTAGGACGAGTATAGTAGTAAGCATAATCCTGTAAGTTAACTACATTATTACTTTAACGATGTAAACGTTTCCAGTTAAAACTGAAATAAATAATGCAGAGATATTAAGTGATCACGTCTCTTGTGATTAACTTGTGAACGAGGGTCACTATGCAATGCAATTGTTATTATTATGCTCATAGATCGGTGTCAGAGTGAATATGCGCAAGTACGTATTCTAGACACGTGCCAGGCGCCTCAGCTGGACATCTTTGTAATGCAAACCGCACCCGTACAGGATATTGGCTATAACTAATCTAAAAAAGCAGATGACCGACCGATTTTAGGTAACCTAATGACATACTATTTCCTGGCCGTTGAACTAGTACCATTATTTTATGTAATTATAAATTATATTTAACCATCTTGACACTTAATGGTCCCAGTACAGAAATTTAACCATAGGGTCGGTACACGTGTTGACTTAATAGTACGGTTTCCGAAAGATTGATTTATGTAGCGATATGCGGTAGATGCTGTGAGGTCCCTTAATTGGGCTAAAATTGAATAATTATTGGTTCATAACTTTTGGGGAGCGTCGTCGTCGCTTCGTGTTAGAAACGAAAATAGATTCTTGGAATATTGATAAATTGCCCCCAGATACGAACGTTATAAATTTATGATGTATACTTACATCATATTGCTTGCGTATTATTATTTATTATTTTTTTACAATTATTTTCACAATTATTACTGTACGTGTAAGTTAGTACGTCAGGTTGTATGAATGAGTTTTCGAGAGATAATTTATATTTAATTTTCATGTTCAAAATGCGAGAAATCTAAAATATACAAATATTTTAGACTAAGCACAATTTTTATTTTAATATGATTCCTGGTGTTTTCTAGATATGCCATATTTATGCGAAATTCTTTTAGAATCACTTTGAAAATCTCATAGAGCCCGTTAACAAGCAATAGATAGATAATTTTGTACATAAAAAGTAACTAATTACTTCTTACGCTATCCCTTCGGTCAAGTAAGTAATACCTACCTATTAGTATTTTAGTACTTAACACTTTATCTTTATCTAAAAACCCCTAAATCCAATAAGAGGAAGTACTACTGTATATTTTCGAATAAAATACAATTTAAAACACTACTGCTTTTAAAAGAGTAGAAATAAAATAAACCAGTAAAAGTAGTCTTCAACGCTTGATATCAATGGTGGAAACAAAAAGAAACATATCTTATAATTTTTAAATCGATCTCTGTCCATGGTATTTTTTTTTAAAGGAAGTGAAAATACTCAACAGACATGGTGTTGTTTCCCGGAACGATAGAACTCCAGGGACGATAGATATGATAAAAACAATTTGTAATGCATGATAGGATAGGTTATTAGATTATTGTCAATATTGACTTTGAACGCAGCCTAGTCAGCAAAAAAATTAGATCAATTTTACATATTAGTTTTTACGAGTTTCCAGTATATTTTATTTCATTAAAAATTTTGCCGCGGGTCCACCCGCGTGTATGTCGGTTATCGCGGTAAAAAGTTATCTATCTTACTCGCTGATAATGTACCTAGCTTTTCAATGGTGAAATAATTTTTAAAATAGGTTTAGTGGTTTAGGCCTTATTTTGACGGGCCTTTGACGGGTCTGTTGGTCGAGTGGTTAGTGCCCCTGACTGCTAAGCCGGAGGTCGTGGGTTCGTTTCCCACCCAGGACAAATATTGTGTGATGAGCATGATCATTTGTTCTGTGTCTGGATGTAATTTATCTATAATATGTATGTATTTAAAAATATATAAGTATGTTTATCAGCAGTCTGGTCACCACCATAGCACAGGCTCTGCCTAGTTTGGGATTAGACAGCCGTGTGTGAAATGTGTGAGGTATATTATTATATTATTATTGTGTAAGAAATAAACAAACACTTTCTCAATTTTAAAATAAATCTGGATATGTTAATTTAAAAAAATCTCTCTATTTATGCTATTTAATATCACGCTACAACATGTAGTGGTCATCGTAAACGCAGATGAAACAGCAAACAAAGGCTGGTATAAAAGTATGCTCTATTTAAAATTAAATTGTGTGATATGCACCTATAGAAATTGGGTTTCTATTATAATTTGTAACTGAATACTGTTTTAAAAAATTAACAGTTTATGTAACTAGTGGAGTGCGTCACAATACTTAAGTACATTTGTTTACCTCGTATGTGTGAACGCGCAGTACGACGTGGATGATGATTGTAACAGCGCAGTTTTGTTAGACGCCACAAAAAATGTATAAATTATAGGAAGATGCCGTAAACAATCTTGTTACAAAATCTATGCTCCACATGTGTGAAAATAGCACAAAGGATTAACGTGCAGGTAGATAAGATAATAAACATCAAACACGTGGGTCTGTGTAGTTGTATGCGATACGTGCAGGATGTGTTTATTGCGTGGGCGCATGCACTTAATATTTCGTTACTTTCGACACGTACCGGCTAGATAAGCCAACTGCAGGCATTAATAAAGTTATCCACGCCTCCAGTTAACTTTTCATTCAATCTTGCTTTTAATTAAGTATACAGTTCACGCTTCACCATTATAATTCATTTATAGAACTTTTAGTTTGTTAACTGATTTAAACGCCTTAATCTGTAATTTATATTTTTAAATTATTGTACACAATAGCAGACATAAACATAGTTTCAATAACAATAAGTCTCATAAATTACATGAAAGTCTATAGGTACGTAAAACTATATCTTCTACCGTACTTAAACATTGTCAGTTGTTTCACGGTGGGTGTTTTTTTCATCTAAGCTGCTTTAGTAAGCTACATTTGAAAACATTAAGCGTGTTATTTATAACTGATAGTCACCAATAATACGCTACATTTTATTTATCTTTGTAATAACAAAACACAGTTCTTTTCACAGTTCAGTTCTAAGCTTGGTTTGGCTTCGAAATAAAATATTCCGTGTTCTTTTACCCGACTTCAAAAAGGAGGAGGTTCTATGTACCACTGCATGTATTTTTTTTTACATACGTTCACCGATAACTCCGTCAATTATGATCCACTTTTCAAAATACTTTATTTGTTAGAAAAGGTATAGTCCTGAGGTGGTCCCATTGTCACGAAGTCAGGATCTGATGATGGGATCCTAGGGAAATCGAGGATAACCCTCAAATTTTATAGGCACGCATTATGTGTTTTATATATTTTCTAAAGCTGTTTTAGTATTTGAGTCTGGTAGTCATCATCTCGTGTTGATGAGCTGATGATGGAAGGTACAACTCCTTTTTCCTCCTCCTAACAACGGTTAGGAGTTAGAAGATGGTTCTTTAAATATCATATGTACGTATAGATCTGTAGTTGTATTCTTTTAAGTTATTCAGATATTGGAAGGTCAAATTTCACAATGCCGATATAGTAACCTATATTCTATAGGAAAGAAAAGACATCGAAATCAAATCAACATCGAGACAAACAGATTTTAGGTACCTAGCACACATTATGATAATATTATCTTTCAGTTAATAGGTAATTAGATTTAGACAAAAATTGTCACATAGTAATTTTGTAAATAAATCATTGTAATTTGTGAATACATATAGTTTGATTGCTAAGTAAAATAATATTGTATACCTATAGGTTCAATTAGAATTTTTTGAGAATAGGTAAGTTATAGTTACTAAGTAATGTTTTTGATTGAATTTGTTAAAATAAGTTTTTTTAATAAATAAGTAATTAATTTATTTTTCGCTTTTTAGTGTTTTTAGGTAGGGCGTTGTTGTTTGATGTTTTTTTGAAGTGGTTTTTTTTTAAATAAAATTGTTTATGATTTAATACCGTGAATACTTAGTCTACCAAGATATAGAAAGGATATCTATGGAACAACTGGCACATCGGATACGGAGAGAAATTTGCATACAAGTACCATACATGGTATATAAGCTTCTTCTAAATATAATTTATCTAAGTAGGTATAATAATATTATTATTATCAGTATGTAATGGTGATCATTTAATCATTGTTATTCCTAATAACTACACAATAATAGAGTTTATATACTATAGTAAAATATTGACTAATAGGAAGTGTTTTAATACTTTAAAATTACTGTTAGAATACTCCATTCATTTTGGTATTTACTGGTAAACCTACATTGAGTAACTGTTTATACAAGAACCTATCCAAGAAATTGTATTTGTTGTTCTTATTGGTGTACGTAGAGATGTTTACTCGTCTTTTTTCTTGGGAGAAAACGAAAGTAATGTAACGTGGGTATACTAGTTACAAACGTATGTTACTTGGATCCAACCCACGTTGTGTGTAACTACATAAAAGGAAGGTAATAAAGAAAACCTCTATTCGAATATGTAATAGAATTTCAACATGGAATACGACAAAAGTATGTAGTTTATTAAATAAAAGAGATAAATATTATCGAAAACACTTTAATTTTATTGTAGAACTGTAGCATATCAGCCTGTAGGTTAGAGTGAAATGCGTGATCAATAACATAAAATAAGGCATAGTTTAGACAGAATATTGTTGCTAACAAATCGAACATTAATCACGTATACGGCCCTAGAGCTATTTCTAGGACAAAATAACTTTAAGCTGAGTTAGTCACGATCATATTCAAAAGCGAACACTAAGACCACTCACTATTTATATTGATTCACACAATGCAAACAAATAAATAAGCAGCTACATTTCCTTGATATGTGGAATTGATCTTAATCGTGTGGCTCTTTTAGAATCGACATCTAAAGATGATCTGAATTTTGATTTAAATATGTATTCGAATACTACTAAAATTTTAGCTAGTTAGTATGTATGTAGTATGACAGTTAGACAACCATTTAAACCGAGATAGAAAAAAAAACCCATAGCAACATAATATCATAATAGTCCGTTCTGTACTCACTATACAGGATAGCTGTCAAGTGAAATAAGTAGACATGTCATTAGTTGAAAGATAAGATGCCTAATTTAGTCACTCATTTGAAAATAGAATACCTATAGCGTTATCACATCGTTGTTTACGGAAAACTAGAAGTAGCAAGGGCATAGCACCACAGATTATACAGCATAAAATCACAGACTACGGGACTTAAGATCGTATTCTAGAAAATATAACAAGCGTTGTATTTTCAGTGCAGCACGGGTTAACTAATTCTCTTGTTTAAAAACTACTAACTGTTGACCGCGGCTCCTCTTGCGTGTATGTCGGTTAACGCGGTAAAAAGCAGTCTACCTATAGCACTCCGGGACAATATACGTTTCTAACACTAAAGAAGTCGGATCAGTAGTACCAGAGATTACCATGAACATACATACTTACTCACAAACTTTATCTCTTTATAATATTAGTATAGATATCAAAATATTATGATTTCTAGTAGTCTCACTATTAATTTTTTTATTTTACAATGTTTATGTTATGAGTAGTACAAATAAATACAATTAAAAAAAACATTTATTTTTAACTCACATCATCGCACCACAACCAAATGTGCTTTCTACCTCTGTTCCACACTTTCATTTTTTTAACCCAAATTAGATATTTTAAATTCAATTTAAATTTAAGAGACCTGTTATTTCTTTTACAACAATACTGTTTATGATGTAGGAGCCAATGAGCGAATGGGTTAACTGATTGTAAGTAAATGAATACATAGAAAAATATATCTATGTTTTATAAGCCATAGGTTAGCCACAGACAACATGTTTAAGATTTCTATTAGTAATTGTAAATTAGAATAAAAATACTAAATTTAGTAAGTGTGATTTAGTGTAGTATTAAGTATTTTACTACACTAAATCACACTCACAATCAAACAAAAAAAAAAGTAAGAAATATGCTATGTGTACAGGTTACAATCACACTAATTCGTGTGGATTCAGTATCAAATAGGTTAGACAACCCTTTTCATTTACGAGTTCGGGTATATCCGGCAAGATAACTAAATTATTAGTAACTATATACTAACACGATCTGTACACTTATTTAATAAATAAGCTACCATTCGATAAGTAGGTACATCACTTAAAATCAGCTAGCCCCTTGGACGATAAGTCCTTAGTTTATTATTAGAACTACACAAAAAAAATTGAACACTATATCTATTAATAACTAGTATTGTACATTAAGATGTTTTTATTTTAGTCAGCCAAAAGTATCAGGGTCAAATCAGCCATTAAACTTATCATACAAACTCAATATTATCAAATATGTTGGGGCCGACAGAATTTTGCTTATTAGCAAGATGTAAACATTTGAATAAATGATTTTACCACGATATCAATGCGAATGGCAGGGCAAGGACAAACGGTAGGGGCACATTAGCAGTGAGATTACGTGCGCTGATTGCACCGTTCCACAAACACTGCACCTTTCACGGTCTCTCTACTGCTAGTTTCTTTATCCGTTATGCCATCTTCGACCTTTAGCCATTACAATGCCCATTAGCACGATGCACTTGTATGCACAGACACTAATCTCGTCGCTGGAATAATTACATTGACAAGAGTTCGTACGACTTGTTTTATTAATGTTTGGCATTGACGCGGATTTAAACATTTGTATTAATAGACTCCAGTGACCAGTAGGTATGAAGGCAGCATGCTCATGACATCATTAAAATATTTCTATTAGGTAAAGCATTAGCATTACAAAGATCTTAGATAACACTTTTTAAAATAATAAGATGGTTTTAATTTACTGTTCGCGGAATGTACATAATAGGAAAAGTTTTCATAGAACATTATTCTCGATATAAACGAAAACTTAAGTTATTTATTTATATAGAACCTTTCGAGTTATATGTTTTTTTTCCTGTGATGCTTTATGTATGTTTTACCTCGACCAAAGGTGAGTAATTTTCGCACAAGTTAATTAAGGTTTTTATAGTGTTAATGTTGCTTTTCGTCTCCGGTTATGACTGACGAAACAATTATTTTATTCTTAAAACAGTATACAATGTAGTAAGATCGGATGCTAGAATCCACATATTTCGATTCGCAGAATCGAATCGTAAGTGGCTAAACTCGGTGAGCAGTAGGTAACGTCGCAGCGGCCCCCGACTGATAAGATAACCTTGCCTTTCAATTTGCTTTGCTAAATCGTGTACCAACTTCTAGTTGAGAAAACATACGTTTAAAACGCTTATCGATCTATCTTTTTATGGCACTCGAGAAGCTGAATTCTTGTTTTGCTTTAACCTTCCGGTCCACTAACGTTATCGATTAACATTTAGAGATTTTTAATGAATTTGAGAAATTTGTTACAAAGTTCAAAGTTTACAGACATAATTTACATTGCTTATTTATTGAAAATACAAGCAAGAAGATTTTAGTTTCTAGCATCAATTTATGAAACTGTAAGAATGGTCTTATAGAGCAATATCTGCAATGTCTTAAGCCACGAAACATGGATTTATTAAGTACCTCATTCTCAAAGGGATCGTCTGCGCGAGGAACTTGTTTCTGTTTATCTGCGCTGAAAGACAGCCTCCTCTTGAATAGCTTCATCATATGCCCAGTGAGGGTAAAAGTTGGCGCGTCGTCTTGTCCAGATTACGTTATCACTTTTTTATTTAGACGTGTACTAATTCATTGCTTGTAAGATATGTGAAAATAATCTTAAGAGAACACCGAGAGGATTACTTTTCTAACCTAGTTCTTTTTGATTAACTAAAGAAAATAGACATCACTGAAACACTAAAGCAAGTTAGACGTGATTTCAGTACAAAATCACATAAACTGCGTATTTTCGCGCCATGTACATAGCCTACTGATAGGCGATGTATAGGCATCAATAGCGCATGTCCGTGGGTGGAAGCGGTGTGCGGCCGGCCCGCGCTCGCGTCGCGCACTGTCCACGGGTTGCGAAGCAGCGTCACGTCGCGCACGCTGAATGCCGCAGCCACAACACGTCACCTTCACACCACGAGGCGCGTGAACCCGCCCCCAAAATATGCCGATTATCACACCTATTACATCTCTAATAAAACCTTCATCATCACCCATTCTTTTTTCCCAACACACGGCCCAAAAACTCTTAGGCAAAGATATAATAATAATTTTATTATCAGCGGGATATGTTGATAAAGTTTTATCATAAAATGACCTACAAAGATTTGAAAAGGTAGCGATGATATACACCACAGTACTACTCTAATTTCAGTTTAATCGTTGTACGAGTAGTAATGGATTGCGCATGAAATGAAGAAACTGCTTCCGTTGTTGCTATAAACAATGTCCTGAAATAGTGACTGTTAAGCTCGTTCTATTTGACACATGTCAATTACATGGTGGAACACGCGCACTAACACGACCCATACTGATAGGTATACAGAATGTTTTACGAACAACACATTTTCTCTGCATTAAATGTGAAGCACAGAATAAATAATAGTTCTTAGTAGGCTCAGATTTGTTTATCATGTATTGCATCATGGTGTCGATTTGCAGTTAAAGCTAATTACTCATGTGATTCAAAAATATTGTTTTAATTTAGATATATTTAGTGTTCATAGATTATATTATTGTATGTCTCGTACCACATAGAACATATTTTATAATACTAAACTTAAAATTTATTCTGGAACTTTTCACAATTGAAATATTGCAAATATTTTATTATCAAACGGCAAATATACTTCATTGATTTTAAGAATCGGGCCTCGGAGCTCGGTCATTTATTTCACTTTTATTTAAACGACAGAGATGTCGATAAAACGATTTCAAATTGCTCTCTCTGGGAACAATTCATATAAATTAAAATATTGACAGCTCCAACCTACCGGCTATCCGCCAACCATTCCAACCAATGAGCTTATGAAGATCAAAATATTCAATTCGCTAATTGACTGTAGATTGAATCAAAATTATCTCAATAAATATACATAAGTGCACTGATGCATGACCCTGTATCCCTGGAAGAGTAAGCATAATACACTCACATTTTACCAATGGCCATTTGATATCGTTCACGACATTTAAAAGTCCTTTACACAAGCCAATTGCTGCTGACAGGCACTTTGGGAATTAAAGATATGATAAATTAAGAATTTAATGAAAGAATCGAAGAAGGAAAAGGATGTTGTTTATATACATGGGATGGGGAGTGCAATGAAATTGCAGTCAATTGCAATCAATCAATGTGCTCGAGAAAGTCAGTTTCGCCTCCAAATTGAACTGAATATTGCCGGTAAGTCTGAGCCTTCTAACACTATTTCAAACTTCTTTAGACATGAACTACAATCGCGATCCCGTAATATTCTTGGAAAACAGGACACAACGCCATTCAGTTAAACTAATTAGAGTTAATGAGTGTTAGAATTTAAACAAAATAATTTTGTACAAATCAATAAGTAAACATTAATATAAGATACACTAAAATTACTACTTTTTTACGATGTAAATTCCACGACGCAAACTTTGTTTTCCCTAGTGAACGCTAGTTGTAATCCTTGAAAAATGTGGCTTTAATGACCGCTAGTGTTTGTACAAAAATCAAACAGGAAGAGGAATGTAGTATCCTACATTACGGAATGTAGCGCTAATGTGTACCTGTTCATGTTTGATTTGTCGTTAGAGCTTTCTACACCCTTGCTCTGAACTTCTCACACGGTTGAGAAATAGAGTCCATTGAAACTGAATATGAAATATATTGAGCTTTGAAATGAAAAATATGCGGAGAGGCGTGGCTTGTTGTTATGAATTCTAGATTCCACATACTCCCATAAAATAGAATTATATTATAACTCATAGATAGTTGTTCCGAGTACGTCTGTTAGAGCTGGTACAGTATGTCTGCTAGAGCTGTCTTCTTAAAAAATCGTTCCAAACAAACTAAATTATTATGAGTATGTTTTTATTGTTGTGTTGTGTATACAAATGTGCCCACGCTTAGAACATGTGAGTTTGAATTCTGGTGAGTCGTTTAGCAACTGAACAAACTCAATTAAGTAGAGGCACAGAGAGAGACACAGTACAAAGTGCCTCAAGTGAACCTCATGGCCAATCCTCCAACTACAAATATAATATCTATTAGCAAAAAAATACTAATTAGTATTTTTTTGCTAATGAGGTTCACTTGAGGCACTTTGCACTGTGTCGCTCTCTCTCTGTGCCTCTACTTATTGCTGGTTTGATTTGTTAGCGAATCAAAATATACTGTAGAAATAACCGCATTTTGAACTTGTTTTGTTTTATACCTTTAACGGGCCATGTACCGCATGAAAATTAATTATTATTATTATATATATATATCTATATATATATTAGTATTTAATATGAATTTCAACTTCCAAATGTCTTGCGAGATTAATTCTTTACCATTCGGTTACCGAAAAAAAAGATAAGACTAAGAAAGCCTAAGATAGAATTGAAATTTCTTACTAATTATGTCTACTGTTGAAAATATTCACTACACTTATAGTAAGAATTTTCAACCGTCCACTTACAGCTGCTCATGCTTTCTACACCTAAAATTTGATGAATGGTGTGAAAATGAACAGAGCAGCACCGTGAGCCACGTTTTGACCCGTCTGGCCGCTTTCTTATTTCCATCCTATAATCATAATGGGAAGTAATATCAGCAATTTTCATCAACAAAGAGTTATTTCAACCATATCTCGCAGGTCATATTCATCAAGATGTTCCAGAAATGAATACGGAAAAGTTAACGATCGAAGCCTTTGATGATGCCTCCAGAAGTAATTATAGTGAATTCGTTTAGTACATAATTTAAAGCAATTATGCTCCGCCACATGTCTTACACGGGTTGTCATTTGCCGAGATAATCGATATCATTTTAATATTGCTGTACGGTTACAAAATTTCAATAGAAATTGCTAAAAAGATTTTAGTTATATATATTATTAAAATAGCAACAATCAGGGTAATAAATATTTGTGCTTTAAGTGCAAGAGATGTCTTCTATAAAATTGTAAGAATTAAAAGAATGGATGGTAGCACTTTCTCAAGTATGGCATGATGACTTGGATAAGTGCAATTCGGTCGGCTCTACACCATGACCCTTATAATTTTCTGAATTGGCCTTTATTAGCGTTCGTTTGTGACTTGCCTTCAAACTACAATGTTAACGTGGAACTGTGTCTTGTTAGTCTTCAAGCTCAAATACAAAGTAAATAATCGAAGTCATCATCGTAAACACTAAGTCAAGCTAAAGGCATGTCGGAGCTTAATCATAACGTATAATATTAATATTATGGTATCGCGACATCGTCGACAAAGAGCTTTTATTTAGCGTGCCAGAAAGAAGAAAATAAACTTTACATGAAACCTATAATTTTGTTAATTAATGCTCTAAGTCTCAGGTAGATATCGCTGCAAGCGTATCTTTATATATATAATTCTTCTGTGAGTGTGTATGTCACTGAACTTCTCTCAAACGACTGGACCGATTTTGATGAAATTTTTTGTGGGTGTTCAAGGGGATCTGGGAATGGTTTAGATTCACAATTTTGTCAGCTAGACAATGTTTTTTTAAGTTATTTTTAATTTATTAGTAGTTGTTGATTTTGGAATGTTTTACATTGGATCCGTCAGACGGCGCTACCATCGCAGTGTCAAATTTGACAGGACAACGTCTGTCGGGTCCGCTAGTATCATATAAAATTGAATGAGTATTTTTGTCTGTCTTTAATTTCATTTGTAAAAATGTATAAATTTCATTTCAAACTTACATTCCTTGTTTTAGATCATTAAATAAAAGCTCTTTGCAATAAATGTTTTTCATTTATTTTACGTCGGCCTAACTGCACATAATACATCTAAAATGTCTTAATAAGTTGTTTAAACGATTTTTTTGTAAAATACTTACAGAGTTTTGTACTTGGGCCAATATCTGCGCCGTATTAGCGGAGTCCGTGAGCTCAACGGCTTCGGATACCTGAAACAAACATTTCCCGTGCTATATTAAGTGGGTCAATTGTTCCCGAGGGAGGACATACAGACTCCGAGCGAATTGCTGTCAATTTCGTTGTTTCATTTGCTACTATTTTTAACGTTCGAAATGGGATTAATAAGAGATACCTACTAGTAGGTCTAATTAAAAATAACAGCGAACTATGCAGCAGTGTTTGGTTATTTTTTGTAGTAGTAGATGTTTATAAATTAAAGGAAACATTTTAAAGTGACATAACAATGTGTATTTGCCCAAGGTCTATTAAGAGATAAAATATGCATATGCTCGTTTCGGTAATAGAAAAACTGTCCACCCACCCACGTGCCGCTACGAGCGCATCGATCTTGTGCCAATACGTATTCGCGACTCCGATCCAACTTTGCCAAATCATTACTACACAGTGTAATAAACTAATGTAATTGTAAATAAGAACTAAATTTACCAGCTATTGCCCGCGGCTTCGCTCGCGTGATTATTTCTTATTTAATATCTGTTAACAAAGTTTGGGCGTTTGTAAAAAAATAAAATAGGTTTACAAAATTTACGATTGGTATGTTCGCACTTAATTTAGAATATTATCAGCATCAAAATAATTATTTCTTCAATGGCTCTATATAAAACCTCTGGTTTAGGGTTCCATTAAATTCTTAACAAAGTTGGATCAGTTATCTTGCAGGGTAAGACTATTAGCCCGTGACAGACTTAACAGCACTACCGAGCTATCTGAACTACGTACTTATGTGTTTAAGTTGTACCTTATAGGTTGAAATAAGAAATAAAATATTGGCAAGTTCTTATCCTGGGCCCCCAGATTGGTTGAGGTCAGTCGTAAATTATAACTATTTGCTGCAGAAGGATCTTTGCGAAGACTTCCTAACTTTCTTCCTACCGATACATAAATCGCCCTAGCACAATCTCTTCTATTTCCCATCCTGGACTACGGTGATGTTAGCTATCTAGATCTCACCGAAGACGAATTAAAGAAACTTGTGCGTGTACTAAATGTCTGCATTAGATTCTTATTCGGCTTACGCAAATATGATCACATCTCTGAGTATCGTATTAAGCTGAAATGATTACTAATTTATCCAGTACTATATTCTTCCCACATACTCCATCCTATCTCAAAGAAAGTTTTAAATGTTTACACAATTCACATTGCAGATCAGAAAATCTAAAGTTAAAAATGCCCAGGCACCACACAATTTACTGACAAGTCGTTCTTAGTGCAAGCAGTTCGACTGTGGAATAACCTACCTGAGGCAATTAAGCAAGCTAAATCGCAATTATTCGCAAAGTAACGAATAAGTCTTAAATAGAAATTTTACATTAGTTTTTAAACTCAGATGTGTGCATGGAATATTATCATAATTTAACTAATATGTAAATATAATGTCGTTTGCATAATATATATAATACGCATATCTCACGACTATGATTTTTATATATATAAATATGTGCAGAGTAAGTTTAATTAGAATACTTATTTTTAATTACGAATAATATTAACAATGTAAAAAAATGAAAATGGCAAAGGAACACTAAAAGTTAAGCCAATAAATATGGTGTAATGGTTAAAATAAATTACTTGAATTATGTGTGTGTTACCTTTTATATAATATTCATATTAGCAATTAAGATTTGGCAAAGAATGACGTGGCAAAACTTTCTCAAGAATGTCTCGCTTTGACGTTAAGAGAAACTCATTTGTTTTGACATCACTACCGTATTCTGTGTACAGACAATCTCTGCTTGTATTCAGTAAACTAAACCGTGTAACATACATAGAATATACCTAACCTTTTTCTTATTCTTGCTGTGTCTACTGAAACTATTCAAGTGAAAACTATTTGTAATACGGCTCTTAGCCCTAGAGTCAAAAGTCAGTTAAATATAAGTTAGAAAAGACAAAAGGTAAGTCAGTTTTCTGAACCAATATCTAATATGCCAGTGAAAATATAAAAAATCCGAAATTATTGAAAGGCAACAACGGTAAGCGTGGAAGTAACTTCATAGTGAAAGTGGTAAATAGTTCATAAATGGGTGTAAAAGCGGGTTTACCAGTTTTCATATACAAGCACTGCGAATAAAAACGCCCCGGGGGAACAATTTGTGATTATTGTGTGATATCAAACGATATCTCCTCATTTGTCACGGGAGTACGTTCTATGCTCCATGGAATACATTGTTAGAGACGTCAAGTCTGTCTAACCGCATTTCACACTTAAAATATATTTTAGAAACGATTCGACATGGTCTTTGACGCAAGAAATTGAGTGACCACACACTTAATAAAATTGTTTACGTGTTTTCCTTTTGAATATTTCTATGCGTAATCAAGACAATTTACAACGTAGTGATTTAGTTTCGGCAGTGGATTTTTCTTCACGGGATTTCTAACTAGATAATTAGGTCCACTTAGTCGTTGTCCCTTTTCCTACCCCAAAGAGCGCCAACTATCCCGGTCTTGGCAGTCCGCATCCATCCACTGCCAGCGATTTACCTCAAGACCACGTTTGCTTAATCGCGGTCTCCACTCTAACACATTTCGGCTCCAGCGACCATCTGACCGCCTGGAGACATTCATTCTCTGTGCGATGTCGGTTACTCCAGTTCTTCGTTAAAACGTTTCATTTCAAATTTTGTCGACAACAGAAACACCAAGCATCGCATGCATCGCCCGCTGAGCGACTTTGAACTTGTGGACCAGTCCAACGGTGAGTGTCCCGGCTTCGTATGTCATTACGGATAGGACGCACTGGTTAAACGCCTTAGTTATTAGCAACTCGAAGGTATAACGAAGCTTCCCATATGCCGCCCAGCCCAAAATAATTCTTCTATCGGCTCCTCTCCTGTCCACTCGTATTGAAGAATCGTCAAGGCTGTTAAGCATGTTTTCCAGGTCATGCAGAGATTCCGCCCGGATCACTTTGTTGCATGAAAATCGCAAGTTTGAGATTTATTGGCCATTTATATTGACCCCGTCCGTTCCACTCGAGCGTCTTGAAGGCGTCTTCCAATGCATTGGTAAACAGTTTCGGAGAAATAACGTCTTCTTGTCTAACCCCGCGATGCAATTGAATTGGTCTTGTGCTCTGTTCTTGTACTTGGACGGTCATCGTTGCGTCTTCGTACAGACATCTTAGCACTTGGACATATCTGCAGTCGATCAGGCTTCTCTGCATAGATTGCAGGACAGCCCAGGTCTCGTTGGTATCAAAGGCCTTCTCGTAGTCCACATACGCTAGGCAGAGAGGTTGATTGTATAGTTCTGTCTTCTCAATTATTTGCCTTAACGTGTGTATGTGGTCCATGGTGCTGTAGCCTTTTCGAAACCCAGCCTGCTCCACGGGCTGGAAGTCATGGAATTTCTAGGCAAGACGATTCGTAATGACCCTCGAGTACAACTTATATACATGGCTCAGGAGTGATATGGACCGCTAGTTCTTCAGTAGGCTTTTGTCTCCTTTTTTGGAAAACAGTACTACAACACTCCTTTTTTTTACGTGTGAAAAGCCCCTCGGTCCTTCACCCCACCGGGTTAGCGGCGGTATGGTGTGTCGGAATCGGACCGACTAGCTTCAATGCTCCGGTGTATTGTCAGTATGTATGACTCCATTACTTTCCATTAGCTTAGGAAATTCATCACATATGCAGTAAATAACGTGGAAGGGGCCACGTTCACTATCTCTGCGTAACTTATAACCACACATCGCTCACCACGCCCGGACATTTTTCACTGACGCAGCTAATGAAATATCTTACACCACACTCTATATTTATGTAGCATTGTTCTTTGTTACCATAATTATCTGAACTTAATTCATTTTGTACAGCAACTAACAAAATGTATCGAATCTAAGCACCCAACCAGTGTCTAGTTGTAAACAATGATTTACTGGTTACCCTCAACACTGATAGACTTTTGAGGTTCGTAACAGCATGCATTAAATGCGTAAATTAGGATAAAAACAATTGATAACGGTCTGCAACCGTGTGTTCAACCACTTCACGCAGCTATAAAAACACCACTTCTATCCCAGAGGAGCCGGCGTTCGGCCCCATTTTGTATTTCTTGATCAATTCCAGAACCTCACTTATCTATGTTTATTAGGTCGATGAGGAAATAGCGAAGTTGTAAAACAGTTTATTTTTATTCGAAGCTTTCAGATGTTCCGTGGTTACGTACAAACCATTCAAACTTAGATCTACATTGACGAATGATGATTCAAAGATTTGCATTCAACAGAAAGTATAGATTATACAGAAAAAGAATTACGGATGTACTTCCACTTTTGTTATATGCCTCTTGATGGACGTTTATTTAAAACAAACCATTGATAGTTATTAGTCTAACTGATAGTTGTCATATAACTATGTAATTTGCTCTTACACAACGGCTATTGATTTTACTTGACAAAAATTGCGCATTATCAGTCATATAGAAAATATATTTTCTTAAATATTGCTAAAGAATAATAGTCAGTCACGCGATAACACTTAAGTCAGGCTATAATTTCGAATGTTTACTGGTGGGCAAGAGTGTCCTATTACCGTCGTGCGTCAGTTAAGTTGCAATTTGTGAGCATGCTGTTATTAATTACGCGGCGCGGTGGTCCCGTCTCTGGGGACCACTCCTGCGTTCCTCTGACACACTAATTTCGAAACATGTTTATGAGCCCTTACACTTAATCAAACTTCAATACTCTGTCACACTAACTTGTTTAAGGCACATTTTAATATGAGGGTGTTACTTGTAAAATTACTGGTATCTTTAACCAGTATGTTTTTATACAAACTTGTATAATTGTATATTTGTTTATCTTTAGACAATTATATAAACAAGTTCTAAAAATAACGAGTAATAAAAATCCATGTACATTTAATTTTGCTTTCATTTTGATAGGTTATGTACACAGAAATCGTAATAATAAGACACACACTCAGAGAAAGTGTCTTATTATTAAGATTTCTGTTGTTTTGTA